AGCGCTAGCGTCAGGTGCCCCCTCAAACACATTCTGAGGGCAGGCTTCTGGAGAACGCGGAACGTCTTCATCAACTACTACCTAGGAGATACCCAATCTATTGAGCAGGGTCTCTTCAGGTTAGGCCCCGTCGTAGCGGGTCAGGTCTTGTTTGCTGACCCAGCCCGAACGACTGCAGGGGCCTCTGTGCATAGGCGATAAGTCAGTCTCTGCATTTTTGCGGGCAGATTGTCTGTTCCACTAGCACTTCTTGGAAGCTCCCAGGTTTCGCTTCTGTCGACCTACGCCCTCATGCGAACTGTTTCGGTCCTACTTCCAGCTTATCACCCCCGAGTTCGGCTTGGGTCTAGCTTTCTCGGGCACACCGAACCCTGTCACCACAGCAGCATTGGCTTCTTGCTTCTGGGACAGCACAGGCAAGGTAAGACACCACCTTCTTGGGTCTTAACTTAGGTTTTTGGGTTTGTTTTTCATCCCGGACTGGGGGAAAGTCTTTCATCATTTTCTCGGAAAAACCCGCCACCTATCGGTGTCTGACTCTGCCTACAGTTCAAAATAGTCATTTTGACTGACCGGAGTCTATGGTGGGTAATTGAACGTAGTGAATTTAGGCGAGGGTTCTCCGAACCCGCCTATTCACATAGTTCATACCCATCATAGACTCTGCGTCCCCCCCCAACCTCCCCACTCTTTCCGTCGCATTGGTTTAAGTCCTCGAGGCGGAGAGAAAGGAACCAGGACGGCTACCTGTGGCGCTGCCAGGTGGCCTCGGTCACGTGGGTTTGTGACGTAAGGGGTAAAAGAATCTTGAGGTCATGGGGCTTCCCCTGACCTGGATTCTATCTCTCCGTCACCGGCAGAATCGCTGATTAATCCCTACAGTTCAAAATAGTCATTTTGACTGACCGGAGTCTATGGTGGGTATGAACTATGTGAATAGGTGGGTTCGGAGAACCCTCGCCTAAGTCCGTATCCAGCCATATTTCACACACACACTTGGGTCAGGGAGACTAATGGATTGGCCTTGTCTGTCCGTATTCATATATCACATACACACTTGGGTCAGGGAGACTAATGGATTGACCTTCTCTGTCCGTATCCAGCCATATTTCACACATACACTTGGGTCAGGGAGACTAATGGATTGACCTTGTCCATCCGTATCCAGCCATATTTCACACACACACTTGGGTCAGGGAGACTAATGGATTGACCTTGTCTGTTCGTATCCAGCCATATTTCACACACACACACTTGGGTCAGGGAGACTAATGGATTGACCTTCTCTGTCCGTATCCAGCCATATTTCACACATACACTTGGGTCAGGGAGACTAATGGATCGGCCTTGTCTGTCCGTATCCATCCATATTTCACATACACACTTGGGTCAGGGAGACTAATGGATTGACCTTGTCTGTCCGTATCCAGCCATATTTCACACACACACTTGGGTCAGGGAGACTAATGGATTGACCTTGTCTGTCCGTACCCAGCCATATTTCACACACACACTTGGGTCAGGGAGACTAATGGATTGACCTTGTCTGTCCGT